CGGCTCCGTGCTCCAGGTGACGAGTACAAGTCATTACATGCAGTCCGGCTTCCTTAATGGGACTTTCAGTATCGACGTGTACCGAAAAAAAAATATCCGTACTCGTACTCCAATACCGAAAAAATAGTGTCAGTACATCCCTAATTAATGCACTCAGTTTATATACACCTACAGATGTTACTTAAAAAGGGTTTTTGCACTTTAAAGTGACACTAAACTCAGGAGTAAACCTTAAAAGTATATTCAAGTACCTTTTAACTGGTAACATGAATTACATAGTTACATAGTATTTGAGGTTGAATAAAGACATTAGTCCATCAAGTCCAAATGTAGCTTATTTGTTATCACTCGGCTGTAGAGTCTCAAATTATCTCTGAATTCATGCTGACACTGTCCTTCCTCCTGTGTTGGACTACACTCTTAATTCAAATTGGTAAACGTGAGATTGTAGTCTCATCACAGGGAATAGCATGGAGTGGTGGCTATTTTACAACACACACAGGGACCATGGGAAACAAAAGGAACCACCCTCCGGAAGGAAGGACAGTGTCGACACCAAATCAGAGAAGATTTGAGGATTTGCAGCTGTGAGTGATACACAAATAAGATACATTTCTGTTAATAGTTAAGGTACTTGAATGCATTTCAACGTTTCATTCCTGCGTTTAGTGTCACTTTAATGCTATATAAAGGGTAGCTGTACACCTTGTAATTAAGAAGAGATATCACACTGTGCTCAGTGATAAGATATCTCATTACATAATGGTTTAGACTGGAGTGATGGAATGAATATTCCCGTGCTGGTATAAAAGATCTCACAGGAGTTCTATTTATGTAAGCAGGTTCGCATTTGTTGTACCAGTTCTATAAAAATGCCAGTTGTGATCCTTGCCATCAGAGCAGCAGGGGAAAGGACATCTTTATGTTGCCGCATTGAAAGGTGCGATCTAGTTCTAGATAAAGTATAGATATACACATGCTACCATCATTTTGAAAATGCTGGTTGCCTGGCTGTCATGCCAATGTTTTAGCTTCAGCAAGTGCTCTTTTAATTGACTGTTTTAGAGCAAGTATGTAACAAACGAAGTTCACATTCCTGAATTGCAGACTTGTTCTAGGCCAGTGATTTGGTATTTATTGAACCCAAATGGCCAGCATGACACTCAGGCAAAGGGCCTTTTCATATTTCCTGAAAGGAATCTTTACTCATATGCAGTGTCGCTGTGTTAATGTTTTAGACAGCTACCTAATAATTAGAGTGCAGTGCAAAACAATATCATGAGTCTCCACAAACAGGGATCAAGGGGAGTGCCTGGAAAAGGAAGCCTCTGTTACTGACTGGACCCGTTATAAACTGAGCTGGTCTTTTCACCTGTGAAGACATATTTTCTTCTGTTCTGTGAACACTTCTGATCATATGTACAGAGTAATGCTACAATAAAATCTCTTTGCTTGTCCATATTTTGTGACAATTGGTATTCTTTGAGATTATTACATTCAGATTTTTGTTTAACTGTGTTGACCCCTAAATAAGTATAGCAGGCCATATGTGTGCTTCTCCCTTTGTTGTAAGAACGATCGTGCTCTGCACTTGGCTGGAAAGTTATGTGCACTTACTATAATTGTTGCTAAAGACCTAAGTGAGACATCACACACTAATATCACATGTGTGAAATATCTTCTACTATTGCAATGTCCTTGTACAACCCCTGACTAGTCCATTTACGAAATACAGAAGTCCTTATGTATACTGTAGTGTGAAACGTTTGTGTCACAGGTGCTGGCTATAATGAAATCCCACGTCAAAAGACACAAAATTATTGCATTGTCAATATGTCCTGTTTTTTGTACACGATGTCTAAAGCCCAATTGCCTTTACAATGCTGTGTACAGTCAGGCAAAATTTAGTTGGGTTACAAAAATAACTCCAAAGAGGCCAAAAAGTTGGCACGTGAATTGCAAGTTTATCAAATTAAAAAAAGTGCTAAATTATTTGTCAAGGAAAACACAGAAATGACAGTGGCTGGCTCTCAAAATACCTGAACAATGCCTGCATCCAATCAGATTGTTCAGGTATTTTGACAGCCAGTGGACCGAGTAGCAAGGTACTGAAGCTTGGCCCAGTGGGAGATTCCTCCATCCACACAGTTTAGCGTAGATGGAGGAGTCTTGCACTTTTTCCATCTGACCACAGATAATCTATAGGTACACATGGCCAGCTTAAAGTGACATTAAAACCTCAGATTTTTATTGGGAAAATGTTTTTTTTTAATAAATTCTTTATTTATACAACAGCATACATGAGATAGTCAGGCGTATGAAAGTAAGAGGATAAATTGTTACAAACAATCCGCTAAATGGCAATTGTCAGGGCCACTGCCCCCATGGGGGTACCGACATAAATTAAACATATGACTATTAGGTCTATCTCCAACATGGAGACGAGAGCCTATGAATCCTTCTTTGGTGGACCTCCCTGCCGCTGAGCCATCTAAACAAAGAGACGTCATTGCAGTTTGTAATCGTATATGCACATACCCAAATTCAAGTGAGGAGATCGGTGAGGCCCACTATGCCTCTCACCAGTTTTCGAGGGTACAAAAGGGAGGACAGATGGGGGTGTTCTAGGGAGGGAGAGGACGGGAGAGATCCAGGGCAGTAAGAAGAGATAGGAAACAACAGGAGAAAAAGGGAGAGATGGGAGAAAGAGAGTAGGGCACCTCTGCAGTCTCATTCCAGGAGGCTCAAGTATTCCGGGGAGGACACGAACTCGTCCCACTCGAACCAAGTGTAGCTAAATCGAGTCCCCGTTCCCTTTAGGGAGCTGGTTAGGTCCTCCATCTGCCTGATGTCGCTAACCCTGTTGAGCCATAGCTTTACGGTGGGAGGAGAGACCTGTTTCCACAAGGCCGGGATACATGCTCTAGCCGCATTGACAAGGTGGATCACCAAGGACCGTTTGTAGCTCTGCAGAGAGCCAGCGGCAAGGTGAAGCAGGAAAAATGCGGGGACCTTGGGGATGTCGGAGATCGAGAACCTCTGAATGATGGAGTGAACTTTGGACCAAAACTCTTGAAGCGATGGACAGGACCAGAAAATGTGGAACATGCCCGCAGGGGAGGAGCCGCATCTCCAGCAGCCGTCACTGGAGTCAGGAAATATCTTGTGTAACCTACTGGGGGTACGGTACCATCGCGTAAGTATTTTGTACCCTGATTCCTGATACCGGTTACTGATGGAGGACTTCAGGGATAGCTGCAAGATTCTTGAGGTATCACTTGGTGAAAAGAGGGAGATCACAGTCCGGGGCTATGAGCAGCTGGTAACACAGCGAGAGGGCTCTAGGCAAGTGTCCCGGGGAGGTGCACTCCTGTTCGAAAGTTGTGAGATGGCGTGTCATCGCCACGGGGTGCGGAAGAATAGCGAGGAAGTGGGTAAGTTGAAAATGGCGCCAGAAGCCCAATGGGGCCAGAGTGAGATCCCCCTCCATGTCGGAGCATGTCGGCCAGCACGGTCCCTGAATAAAATGAAGTGCCCTAAACTTTCCCTTCAGGCCAAGTTGTACTAACCGGGGGTCCTGCAGCCGAGGGGAAAATTCAGGGTTCCCAATCACTGGGGGAGGGGGAGGGGGAGATCCCTCTAGAGTCAAATATCTTTCTGGCAACCTGCCATGTCGGCCCT